AGGAAACAACACGTGTTGAGCGTCCTTCAGCTGTGTTCGCCATTAGCCCCAAAGATCAAAGTCAATTTCCATTAATTTGAACAGGTCAATAAGTGAAAAGTGTGAACGCCAAAAAGAAAAGGAAATTTTTTCTCGTGAAGACGAAGCAACAAATTACTTTCCTTGCCTGCTCGGCGAGGTCACCAATTGCATCATCCTACACTTAGAAATAGAGAAAATAAATCCGGTAGTATGCCTGAAAATACCTGTATAAACCCGACTAATGTTTATTTTCTTTAATTGGTCCCATGTTTACTTTTTTGACGCCAATGGAAAATTGGACCTACGTCTATATACGACGCATTATTTCTCACCCCCTCTGACGCAGGCGGGATGTGGCAGGTCTCTCACTGCTTTATCGCTGAAAAAGGGAAAGTGACCAGACGATCATCATTCCTTCGTTCTGTCAGGCATAACCTTGACGTCAAGAACCAGCCATGCGACTCACATAATAGAAAACCACCCACATTCCCTCCGTATTCCATCGATGAGAAGTAAATTCCACTCGAACAGCTTCTTCCCGCTAACCACTGCTCTGTGGAACTGATACTAAAGACCTAAGATTAAAAATGGCATTATGATATTTTTCACTGACTAATTAAAACGTACACACATATTTTACATAAAGCCCATCGTAAAATATGGGCTGTACTCGTGAGAATATTTTTTTGTATTTCTTTAAGGTATGGACTTCCCGGAATCCCTGATTTCGATTTCAAGGTCCTTGTATTTTGATCGCTTTTTGAAGGTCTCCAAAGCTACATTGTAATCTCCAGGGACTGCCATATCAATAAGGAGACACTTTTTTTATTTGCGGTATCTAATAATAATGTCTGGGCGGTTAGCTTTGATTGTTCTGTCTGTGTGTATTGTGTAGTCCCATAAAATCGTAAGAAGTCCCATCTCCGTAATCGGGTCTGGGTGGTGTTCATACCAATTTCTTTCAGTTTCCTTCCTGTTGTGGATTCCGGGGATGGAATCCTGCACAAACAAATAAACAACTCCAGTAATTGAAATAGAAAAATATGTGTATTAAACATAAGAATACAAACTTGAATGAAGATTAGTAGTCTAGGAATGCGGGTTAGTAGGAAAGTATATGTACAAGTCTCTGTAAGTGAAGCCGTAATTATCTCTCTTTCTGGACTCTCGTATAACTCTGGATGAACACCCCTGTCTCGACGTTTTTCTCACGCTATCTCTCCGTAGTATCAATATAATTTGGACGAGTCCATCTTGTGTACAAGGGGCGAGCCCCACAATACTCCCCGTAGAAGTTGCAGATTTTCCAGTGCAGATATTGGCCCACTCTGCATATGCCGTGTTTTATATTCAGTGGTGCCAATATCGTGCAACCTGACACAAGATGATCAGATGTTTCTGGATATTTATCACAGAATCTGCATTTTGGGCTAACACAATATTTTAGTATGTGTGCTTGATAATCTCTACTTAACAAGCATTGATCCTGTATAGCAAGGATAAAACCTTCAGTTTCAGCTTTCAACCCTGCACAACGGAGCCACTATTGGGTACACGGTTTGTCTACATCAGCTCGTTTGGTACGGGCAGAGTATTGGCCATGAAGCGGTTTATCTTGTCATCGCTTCTGTATCTGGTCGGTTGCATTTGTCTCTGCTTTCTTTTTTAAGTATTTTGCAGTTTCAGCCAGTGTATTGTGCTGTACTTGCATTTCTGCGCTCATTTGAAACTTGCTGGCTTCTTTTATTGCGAAGTAAAGACGCTTGTTACTTTCATGTTCCTTGACACATACCATCATCCAGTCTTCTGTAGTTCCCAAGTCTCTTTGGAGGCCAATTATTGTAGTTTTGTAGGACAGTTCTAGTTGAACTAATCCTCTGCCTCCTTCGGATCTGGGTACATACAGACGATCAACATCAGTTTTGGGATGATGTATGCGGTAGCAAGTGAGACGCTTTCTCGTTTTGGCGTCCATTCGCTTAATTTCATCTATGGTCCAGTTAGGGACGTTAACGCTGTTATTATTATTATTATTATTATTCTAAACCTTGGGAGATTTTCAATTAATCATTGGTCGGTTGATTTGCACCAATTTGAAACTCTATTTTGAACTTGTTGGCTTCCTTTATTACGGAATTATATCATTATTATTATTATTTTGTCGCATGGTGTTAGTTTTTGAATAAACCGAGCACATTATTTATCTGTCAAATCAAAACAAGGACCCCAGACAGACAACGCTTTCCTCAAAATATACGCAGTGCCCCAAATAGTTGACTTTTGGATGACTTCGAGTTGGTATGGTGTCCTCAGCTGGTCAAAGAAGCCACATTGTTTTAATGTGATTAATCCCAGTGCGCCAATCACCACTAGAATCACCGTCATATTCTATTCCTTCCTTCCAAACAATCTTGCCATCTCAACTTCCAAATCCGAGTAACTTGTAATTTACTCACCCTGTTTTATATTCGTATCACTTTGTATGTCAATATCAACAATATGACAGTTCTTGGTGCCTTTATCTAGTAACACTAACGTCCTGATAATAATGGTGTAGCACTCTGTTTGAAAATCAATGTCCCAGAATATCGTGGACTTACAGATTTGCAATTCTTCTGCAACGCACATGTTCGTTTCAATTTTTTTGCAACTTGTTGTCCATACGTTCGGCACAATAACCAATGTACACGCTGCTCCGAAAGTCCTGTCACCTCTACATAATATAATTTTCTATTTCAACGCTCTGTGGGGGAGATTTTCACATGAACGATCCCAGAATACCCATCAGTTGAAGGACGCCGTTCGGAGAGCCTTGGCAACATTCAACAGAAGCACAGCTTCGTAAAATATCACACAGGACATGGCGTCGCATCATTTGGTGCCAGGAAAATGACGGTGTTCATACAGACCTTCTCGATGTGTGACAGCGTCAGCGAAAGTGAATAGGCTGAATCCAGTCCATGTGCTTTGTATTCCTTGTTCTATTCTCGTTACTTTTTGGCAGGGAGTGACAGGACTTTCGGATCGCCCTGTACATTTGTCAGCCTTCTATTAATACGAGACTGATCCACAATTCAACACTTTGAATTAAAAAAAAAATCATTGTAATCTACACGGTGTTCAAAATAAAGTCTTGTCACCCCTAGATAATATAATTTTCTGTTTCAAAGTTCTGTGGGGTATTATTATCAAGGAGAGACTTTCACATGAACGATACCAGAATACCTGATATAATGGAATATGCATACACCTATGTTCCCTCTCACTGGAGTGTGATTGGCTGGTGTCCGTCATAAATACCGACGGACGTGTAGGAGAGTCAAAAAGCCTTAGTCTGAGAGCTAAGTCTATAACGACGCCCATTGGACTACGCCATTGATCTACACTTCTTACCTGCGACTACGACGCCTACCATTCGATTACTGCTACCGTATTCTACTTGGTTTTGTAGCCCAAACCACTTAGCTACTTCGTTCATATATATCCCTTTCCGGGACATATCAGATAGATAGATAGATAGATAGATAGATAGATAGATAGATTTATAGATACTGAGATGATATATAAAACGAAGATAAAAATAACGATAAGATAGATAGATAGATAGATAGATAGATAAAATAGATAGATAGATAGATAGATAGATAGACGGATAGAAGAAAGATAAATAGAAAGAAAGAAAGAAATTAGAAGAAGACTAGATATGAAATAAAGATAGAAAGAAACCTTGAAAGAAAGAAAGAAAGAAAAAGAGTTCGATTTTTTTTTATTTCTTTAAGGTATGGGCTACAAGGGATTTCTTCAATTAGTCTTTTGAAACCTTTTCTAATTAATCCGAGGGCTCCAACTACAACTGGAATTGTTAATGTCCTCATGTGCCATATTTTTGAGATTATTATTATTATTATTATTATTATTATTATTTTCTTTGATTTCTGGCGTTTACTCATTTCTTTCCGAGTCCCGCCCAGGAACCTATGGTTAGAAATGGCGTCATGACACTTTCCACTGACAAAAAAAAAAAAAAATAAAAAAAAAAATAAAAATTACATAGATAAAGCCCTTCGTAAAGGGTGGGCTGTACTTGTCAGAACAATTTTTTGTATCTCCTTGAGGCATGGACTTCCTGGAATCCCTTCAATTATTATTATTATTATTATTATTATTAAACAAGCAAAATGATTGATGTAACCCTCCCAATATTTTTCACACTTAAGCACATCAGAGCATTATCAACTCTTCTATTTGAAAACAAACAACGTCTCTGATATGTCTTTTCCGTGTTTCCTCGCGAACAAAGGGGAATAGTCCATTATTTATGAGGTATTAAGAGGGTGTAACGTACGTGTTAACGAACAAACAAGCAGACTTATGATTATTAGTATGGTTATTATTATTAGTAATAATAATAGTTTTAGTAATAGAAATAGTAGTAGTAGTAGTAGTAGATATTATTAGAATTGTGATCTTTGTTGTTTTTCAATAAAACAGTAATGCCGATGCGTTCATCGGATTTTGTCAACTGTATGTCGCATCCTGTAATCTCTTAAAGTCGCTTCCATTTATTTCCCATGATTCCGAGCATTTTTTATTCATTTGTTGAATTCGAAGACTAAGATCTTCCACTGGGTGTCAGACATTCCCTCAGCGAAACGGCGTCGTATTTTTTTTTTCTTTTCTATTTTGAATGCTCTTTTTCTTGAATCGCTGTCACTAAAATCCAAAACCTATTCTTCTAGAAGCATGAAAAATTAAGTCTCCCTCGTGAGACTTCTTCCATTCATATAAATATCTCTCGCACGGATAATGGTTTAAATTATTTACTGCGTGTGTGTGTGTGAAAAATGTATTAAATCTAACTCCAGTTCACTGATTACAAACACACACACACACACACACACACAGGACATATATATATATAAATATATATATATATATATATATATATTATTAAAGGGAGAGATAGATTGACAAAATGATTAGATATATAGATATGGAGACAATGAAAGAATTAGAGGATAGATAAGATAGATAATAGATAGATAGATAGATAGATGATAGTTAGATAGATATGAAATAATTGAAAGAAAGAAACAAACAAACAAGCAAACAAAGAAAAAGAGATAGATAGATAGATAGATAGATAGATAGATAGATAGATAGATATGAAATAATGGAAAGAAAGAAAGAAAGAAAGAAAGAAAGAAAGAAAGAAAGAAAGAAAGAAAAGACATAGATAGATAGATAGATAGATAGATAGATAGATAGATAGAATGATAGATAGATAGATATGAAATAATGGGATAAAAGAAAAAAGAAAGAAAAAAGAAATAAAGAAAGAAAAAAAGAAAAAAAAGAGATAAATACTTAGATATGAAATAATGGGAAAAAAAAAGAAAGAAAGAAAGAAAGCAAAAGAAAAAAAAAAAAAAAAGAAAAAAAAATTCTTAGATATGAAATACTGGGTTAGAAAAAGAAAGAAAGAAAAGAAAGAAAGAAAGAAAGAAAAAAAAAAAAAAGAAAAGATAGATAGATAGATAGATAGATAGATAGATAGAAAAAATAATTGGATGGAAACCTAAAAAAAGAAAATAGATAGATAGATAGATAGATAGATAGATAGATAGATAGATAGATAGATACGAAATAATTGGATAAGAAAGAAACAAAGAAAGAAACAAAGAAACAAAGATTTTCAGCCTCTGTGAAAAGTGTAAGTGGTCCTAGAGTGTTTTCCGTCACCAGTTTATCGTAAGTTTAAAAGACAAATGAAAGTACCATTGATGACAAAATCTTCTGGGAAGAGACTAAGACGACAAAAAATGTTGGGTTTGTTAAAGAAATGATTATTCTGTTCTTGCTTGGTTGAACTTATGATGAGAAGGCTCTCAGGCCGCCATGATAGATATCTTTAATTTACATAAGACTAATAAATTAAATGCTACTAGTGGCGTCGAATAGCCACATAGTACAAGCCTAGTTTGGCACTTGGGGAGAGAGTAAAAAAACTGGAGGGAGAGAATAAATTTGCAGACAGAATATATGGTTGTCAGCAGGAGAAAAGCCTTAGATGTGAACTGAGAATTGGCGCTGTCAAAACTAAGCACGTACAGAATTTTAAATATGTTATATTCCGTGATAATAGAAATATGGAATGGACAAACACGGTGGATAAATAGTAACAGGTTTATTGTAGAAACCAGTACAACAAGCAAGGAAGTGATAGTTATGTGTACGGTCGCCGCAAGCCAATTCAGTTGTGTGTGCGCTGCTATCGGAAGGACGCTAGTTTTCGCAGATCCAAGCTCGACTCTCCCGTCCTTCTGTCCTCATGGATACTTATAGGTGGTTACCACCTCTAGTGCCGGTGAGAGTGGCAGGTTATTCCATCACATCAATATGATAGATAGATAGATAGAGAGAGAGAGAGAGAGAGAGAGAGAGAGAGATGATAACAGATTCCAGCTGGAGTCTGCCGTTACTCATGGGGGTGCCAGGTTATTCTATCACATCAAAACATTTGGGAAGTGTTTTAACAGAGGATAGAAAATTTCGCACCGTCATCCAAATACGCATTGGAAAAGATAGCTTCTAAAATTTAAGCAAAGTATGAAGAAACAAGGAGAGTTCGTTAAAAACAAAGAATGCCTAAATAATGTGTAATATTAATCATCTTCTATGGCAACCATCCTCTATGGACAGTTTCCTCACAGAAAATGAGAAAACAAGAGGCAAAAGATATGTTGTTCCACAGAAGGATGCTGAGGATTTCATGGATGGAATGTGTAAGTAACGAGTAAAGACACTTATACACAGAATCATGAAGAGAGAGCAGAAAATTCTGGGACACATAATAAGGATTGAAGACTTGGAAAGTTTAACACTCAAAGGACACATCTAATGCACACGGGACAAGGAGAGGCACTGGGTCACCTACCTGTGAATGGAAGGTAGAATCTTATATTTGAAACAAATGGTATATAGACAAACATTACTAAGATCTGTATTGATATAGGAGATCGTTGGAGAGCCATGATCACACACGTCCTGGAGGAACATAAAAATATATATATATATATATATATATATATATATATATATAGTCTTAAGGTGTGCTATATTTATGGGATAAATTCCTCAATATCAGAGATAGAGCGTGTGTAAATATAAAAGTGAACAGTGAAGTCAACACTTAGAGGCGACAGGCTGTTTCATGCTAGGCGCAATCGCCAGGCTTTAATAAGCAAAACACGTACATATAAGACGCTGGAAGCGAAAATCGCACCGCAGCTCATGACGTCACACATGACCACGCGAGAGTGAATTCGAGAAGTATTAAGTATGGGAGGCGATTGATATAAACCAATGGCTTCTGTTACCAATTATAGATTTTCGCTTCCAGCGTCTTATATGCACGTGTTTATCGCTGTTTGGAAATCATCCATGTAAACAGAAACAGACTATCATCACTTTCTTGTCCTTGTATTGCTTAATATATTGTACTGTAATTGTCATCTTTGATAATGGCTTATGTAAGCCAAAAGCTTAGATTGGATTAAAAATATGTATCCATATTGTGATTTTCTTTCTTTGTTTAATGATAGTGTTATTAAGCTTATCAGACGTTATGAAAAGAATTTACATAAAATAAATAGACAACACTTGTCTATATTATTTAATGAAACATGTATGAATATATATATCTTTAAAAAAATCGATTCTCCCGTCGAGATTCGACGTATGAGGGTCAAGCATATCAGTTTCCAGGAAACTGACAGCCCGACACGGGCACATGAGATTTGATTATAGTAGTGAAGGTTTTGTGCAGGACCATCCACACTTTTTGAAGGGCCGAATACAGAGACCTGGTGCACTACGTGCCACAAGGTTCCCAAACAACCCCCCTCAGGTTTTGAATTCAAAGTTGTCCATCTCCTAGACTAGTTGGCATCCAAAGCTATAGAACCAAGTCTGTCCTGGTATTTTACCCATAGCTGGAGGGAGAAGAAGAGGATTCACACCTTTCCCAAGGGTATTAGCACGTAAGTGAATGTAAATGGATTCAACCCGGATTCGCACTCGGCTCTGTAATGGATTCAACCCGGATTCGAACTATATATATATATATATATATATTTATGAATAAAAATGACAATAGGAAAACTGGTAATTGCTGACGCGTTTCGTCCAATGTGGACTTTATCAAAGCAAAATACGTAAATGAAATTAATTGAATAAAGTAACTAATAAAAACAAAAACAGAATGTACCTAGCAACTGGAATGTAGAGAAACGCTATTTTCATATTTTTTAACTGAAAAATAACGTCAGAGATTGTCACGTGTGGAGAATATTGTCATTATATCTGTGTTGATGTATTCAACCATTTTCTTTCGATTTTATGAATCTGTTGTGCATATTTGTTTGTAAGAGCATTAATTTTGTTAAGAAAGGTGAAATAGGGAAAAAGCCTGGGCGTAAATTAATATTTGGATAATTTTCTATGGCGGCACTCTCCAGAATTTTTCTTTCTGAGTGAGTTATTTTTTTTTTTGAGTGTAGCATTTTTAAAATCAAAATTATGGTTGTATTTATATATATACATATATATATATATATATATATATATATATATATATATATATATAATATAAAATATTTATGAATATATTTGTGTGTGTATATATATATATATATATATATAAAATAAATAGATTAGTTAATAAAACAAGTACAAACGAAAGGGTACCAATATAATGAGTACGATAAACATTTATTAAAATATTATTAACAATATGATAGAAATGAAGCATGGGGAGAGAGTTTTGTATCTATTAAACCATTTTTCTGTTTTCTATGCATGTTTAGTTATTATCCATCTGTGTACAGTTAATTATATGAAATTATGTTTATTCATTAGTTGTAAATGCAATAAATTAAAAATTAAAAATTTGCATCTGTACGAATATTTGTTTCCTCCCACTCTCTCTCTCTCACACACTCTCTCTCTCTCTCTCTATATATATATATATATATATATCAATATCAATTTCTCCCAAGCAGAAACGTGCTATTTTATTTGAATTTTAGAACAAATTAGAAACCATTTAAATTTAGAAATTTAGACAGGGTGAGATTTATTTCAACCTCGGTGACTCCAGCAACTCCTAATCGGGAGGATATATATAGTTACTGTGTCCTTAGAACGTAAGAAAGGTAAAGCTTTTAATAGTATCTATAGTCAGGGCGATCCAAATTGATTTTAAAATAAGTTATTTAAGAAATAGCGTCTTTCCCGATTACCTATTTAAGTAAATGCCCGGCCATTTACTATTCAGTCGATAATATGCGCTTCCTGAACTAAATCAGGCAAATTGGAGTGGAGAGTTAGTCTAATTTAAATATATGAAAAGTAGATGCTGAAACTAGTGAATAGCATTTCTCTGAACATTTTTCTCATAAATGCTGATAAGATAGAGACAGGTTTGTTACATTGTCTCTGCAGGAAAAAAAAAGGTTGACGAGGCGAGGATATGTCTTTCCCCGACAAAACCATATAAAGCATTGTGAACTCTATCCAAGGCTGCAAAGTTAGGATTGAGCAATTCTAGCTCAGATATGCCAACAATGCTCTCTCTAGTGTCTAATCTGAATTCTAAATACATAGATATTTTTAAGCCTCCCCCCACAAGTAAAGCGGAAGTGACACCAATACGCAGGGGAATACAGGGACTGAAACAAGAATGGGTATTAGGGAAGATCGAGGAAAGGATAAAAGATGGTGATTGACGTTGCATTTAAATTTTTGAAGATTGTAGTTATCAGGGAAACAAGTAAGCGGAAGGGAGTTCCACTGTTGGGAAGTGCGTGAAAAGAAACTGTTTGAGTAGAAGTGGCGTTTAGATTTAACTATTTCAACAGTAAATGGGTGGGACATAGATGCCAACCTTGTAAAACGCTTAAATTCATGTAGTCGAGGAACCAGGGGAAAAAAAGCTCGTCAGAGCATTTGCTATGAAAATATTTGTAGAAAAGACAGAGGGAAACTTCATTACGTCTGTGAGAAAGTGACTGAAGTCGAGATGCCGATTACATTGCAGATTCTTCTTTGGATTTTTTCATGAAACTCGAGATGAACAGCAGGGGTACCAGACAAGATATGGCAACAGTATCCAATGCACGGACGAATGGTAGATATTAAAATGTGTAAGGTGGACTCTGACGAGAAAAAAAAACCTTCTTGCACGACACAGTGAACCAACTTTCCTTGCAGTAGATGCAGCTATTGATTCGATGTAATCGTTCCACTTCAAGTCAGTTGAAAACATGAGGCCAAAAAGGCGCAGTGAGACGCTCTCTTGGAGTTGAGCATCTGCCAGGATGATGGCGGACAGAGAAGTTTTCTCTAATTCTTTAATCTTTAAGAAGATAATGCTTTCCGTTTCGATTTCCTCAAGGGATTTAAATCAGTCATTATCGGCCTTAAATATAGAATATAATCTTAAAAATAAATGCTTATTTCTAGAGGCTTATTTATTATTTGAAACCGAATGCTAAATTCTTTAATATTTAAGAAGATAATTGTTTCCGTTTTGCTTTCCTTAAGGGATCTAAATCAGTTATTATCGGCCGTAAATATAGAATTAAATTCATTGAAAATAAGTGCTAATTTCAGGAGACTTCTTTATTATTTTCTTATATTAAAATTTCGTGACTAATTTTTCCTTATTTCAATTTAAAGTGAGGCCCGGAATTTTAGTTATTCTTTAAGTGCGCCCTGAAGTAAAAACAAAACATTGTGAACTTTATATAAGGCCAGAAAATTAGGACTGAGCAATTCCAGTAATGCTCTCTTTTGTTTCTAATCTGACTTTGTTAAAGATAAAACATGCCAGAAGGAGCCAGATTCCTAATACATAGATAATACATGATACTTCGATAATATCCGACAAAATAAAATTTATATGGTTAATTATGTTTTATGAAGTTAACTTGATAATACGCCCTGGAAGGTAGGCAGATGTATCTGAAAGTAAGAGAAGAGTAGTGATTTTCCAAGCGTACCTCAGATGTGGCACAAGGCCGAAAGTAAGGGTCACCTAGTGTTGAAACTTGACTAATGGATGTAATAATAATGCAACGCAAAATGTACTTAGAACAAAATGTATTGAAACAAAAAAGTGTACACAATATTTACATATAGTCTTTTGTATATTCCTGGTAAGACCGTTCCTGGAGAATGTGTTGACTGAGTCGCAGTCGGGCAGAGTCTCTGGTTGAATCTCTTGATTCCTCCCTCTCTTCCCGGTACCAACCATATTTATATGGTCGGTACTCCACTATGCATATTAGGTGGATCCTACCACAACACCTAGTGAGGATCGAACTCACTACTCAGTCGTAATAATTCTAGCGAGACAAGCTTGCTAATCATTACACTATCTCGAGGTGCCTGAAAAGTAAGAGAAGAGTAATTTATTAATTATT